TATCTTTATCTTTATCTTTATCTTTATCTTTATCTTTATCTTTATCTCTATCTTTATCTTTATCTTTATCTTTATCTTTATCTCTATCTTTATCTTTATCTTTATCTTTATCTTTATCTTTATCTTTATCTTTATCTTTATCTTTATCTTTATCTTTACCTATATCTTTATCTTTATCTTTAGCTTTATCTTTATCTTTATCTTTATCTTTATCTTTATCTTTATCTTTATCTTTATCTTTATCTTTATCTTTATCTTTATCTTTATCTTTATCTTTATATTTATCTTTATCTTTATCCTTGCCATTGTCTTTGTCTTTATTTTTATCTTTGTCATCTTAATTTTAATCTTAATCCCAATCTGAGTCTCGATTGAAATCTTAATCTTAATGCCCAACTAAACCCTCGTCATGAAGAAAGTGCTTTCTGTATCAGGCGACCTTCTGAGCTACTAAGCTTAACCCGGATACAAAGGATCTTTGCCTTTCTCGCTACTGGACCCATGATCAACTTCTAGCCGCGATGCACCCATCAACGCCTTAGAACTACTTCTTTCAAAGTCGAGAATAGTCATCAAAATTTACGCCGCATGTCCTTTCATTTAATAAATTAACGGAAATGAACTGGGCTGTCGACAGATGAGGTTTTTACCTTGGTAGTACTTGTTGAAGTATTTGTGCGGTCCAGTTATTAAAGCATGTGCTTCGACTTGTATTGTGTTTCCGCCTTGATTCCAGATGAGGATTTGCGTCAGGTAAAACTGTAGGTACATTTCTCCTTCTGCCGCACATCACAAATTTAAAGAGAAGCTCGGCAAAATACTTAAGAAAAATATTACCGCTAAATATTCATTCATCTGTATATACATAAGAATCCCACAAGGGGATCCCATTCCGAATGATGTACTTAAATTCAAATAGCATTTCAAATAGCTTATAGCAAAGACAGACGGCAACGTTAATACGGTTTAAAGGTTAAGTCATCTGAGAGATTAAGCCGCGAGGTCGTGGGGGCGTACCCAAAAATTACCGAAATTTATCACTCGAGGGCCAAGTAGAGGATCGTATAGGATTACTAGGCTGTTCTGGATGTTCTACGACCCACTCAAAATCAAATTTCTTTTTGGAATGAGCACAGAACTTAATCCTTACATGTCGAAAGGATTGGATTGCCCTTTAATAGGTCTGTCGCAGTTGCGATGATCTGGGCTCAAAAGATACAGTGGAACACTTCCTTTGCGAGTGTCTAGCCCCCCAAAAAGATGGGGCTAAAGACACACGGCAAACAATTTCGGCAGAATATTTCTAAGTGCAGCTGTCTGGAATAAAAAAAAAAACTGAAAATCCGCATGTTTCTTTTCTTCCTTTTTCCTTTAAAAACAGCTATTCCAGACCTTAATTGTACAAAAAGTCTCGTACCTTATAAAGATATTTCCTATTTCGTTCACTCCTGGGCATGCCTTGAGGTCATTATCCTATTGCATAGGACCCTGATGAACGCTTGACTGTATTAA